ACACCACGGCCCAAGGCTTCCATGGGAAGCCTCGCAGCATCTGGAGATTCAACCTTCCCAAGCTCATCGTCTGACGCGTCCCCAAGAGCCTCGTCCACTGTATGCGCTTGATGAGGATTTCCAGAGCTCAAGCCCGGCTGACCCGCCATTTCGAGAGCTTCTGCATCCTTCTGATCGGCTATCATTTTCTTCTCGTCCTTGGAACGTTGCTTGCCAGCAGCCTTTTCCTCCTTCTCTTTCATCTTCATTGCTGCCTTCTTGGCGTTCCTGATAAGTGCCGTTTCGGCATTTTCAAGCATAAGCGCGAGTTGATCACGCTCTTTGACTTTCTCGTTTAGCTCGTCAAAGTTGCGATTGATCCAGATGTTTCGAATACCACCGGGAAAGACATCGTACAGGCCATCCAGAGCTTCGTACGTCAACCACTTCCTGGGTATGGCAGTGACTAGCACTGTGGTTGCTGAAGCACGAAGACGATGTTGTGGGGAGGTCAGATATGCCTGTCGGACACGAATGTAGCCCCGAAGTTCGTCGTATATCACGTAGCATGTCCACACCAATATGAGAATTGCCAATAGCAAATGGGCCCAGAGTCGACCAGTGTGCGCAGGATCAAAGTTCTGCCAGCCGAGCCGGTCCAATCCATGCACGTCCTCTTTGCCCACCAACTCATTGTTTATTGGTATGAGAACAGGCAAGATGACTATAGCGGCAGGTATGAAGATTTTCAGAAGCATGCGGAGGAAACGTAGGAAGAAGTAGGCATCGAGACCACACTTGCTGATGAGCACAGCGTTTGAAGTCTTGAACACTGGAACTATCCAGCGCCAAAACCCTTCTGGGGGCGGCGTAGTTCGATCCTTAGCTGGGACAAGGAATGTCTTAGGCCGGCTGGAAAGTCCAGAGTTAGTAGATGAACATTTAGTGGAGTTTACAAACCTACTATATTCGTATAAACTTGTTCTTCAACAAGTAAAATACCATAAATTGGACACCGAAGAGCACGAAAGCACTACCAAGGGAGCCCAAGAAGGTCTGGATCGTTTGTCCCGACTGCGTAGCGGCCTTGCCAGCATTTGGATCTGTGGTGTTAACCATGGCTTGTAATTTGAGAGAAGTGACAGTTCAATACTGCTCATTTCAATGTGTTATAGGTGGGAAATCATGAGTTTCGTAAAAGGTCGTGGATAGGCGTGTTAGAAGGCGATTTGACTATGGCGAGGTAAAATTAGGAATTAGAAAATTTGGAGATGTAATTCGTTGTAAGTGAATATCGATCTGGAACTAGACGTCCAACGCAAGTGCCCCCTTCACGGAACTAGTATGGAAAAGGTGACTGCTCAGATCGTTTGCTGCGAAAAACTGCCAGGAGCAATTCACAGATTGTATCAAAGGCCAGCGGTTCTACAAACACCAGCAACTTCATGCAATGAACCAGTGGTCAAAAAGCCGTTGGAGTTCTTATTAATGAAACGGCGCGTACAAAAAAGGAAAATCCCAAGCTCCATATCCCTGGAATGATTCAACGAACTAAACGTCATATCTTCGTTTAATTAAGCGCCACACCCATCTCCACGCGACCCAGAAACACCATCCGCTTGTCGTGTTCGAAACCAGTTTCTGCATCTTCGCTTCTTCAGGTCCTGTATCGTTCGCGCATAAACTTTCGTTTCTTCCATGTTTTTGACGTTCACCGCAGACAGGAACCGGAACTTGCCGCACAGAAATAACACATGATAAACTGCGCAACGCCTAATTATTGTACTTGCCAACGTCGATTTCCGTCTGTGCCAGCAGTACTTCACTTGTCCAAAGGTCATAAAAAGGCATGTATGAAGAAAGTTAGATGCATCTGAAGGGGCCCGATCGATACCACTATTCACGGCCCACCACCATCAAAGTCTAGCAAATTCACCCAGGTTTGGTCATACTCCTTAGGTTTTCTGAAAGCCGGCCAGGGCCTAGGATCCTGAAGTGATTTCGGTCGCTTCAGTATATTCAAATCAATACAGTATTCTTATATGCTCTAGTTATAGATAAGTAGACAGTACTAGAAGTAGTCAGTATACTTGTTTAGTTATTATATAGCTTATGCATTGATTATAGATTAAAATTCCGGCATTGGTGTATTCGTATCGTTCTCAAAAAGGCTCAATACACTTTGTGCTCTTAACATGACATGCTGTAAAATTTCAGACGGCACTTCAGGTTCGGCTCAGTGCAACGAATTTCAACCAGGCCGATTACAATCTACATCGCCGCGATCTTTGATTTTGATCCACATACACTCTCATATTTCGTGTCTCTCATTCTTCCACAGATTCCTGTCCTTTCATAGAATTACCGACCGCCTACATTTCATAGCCTGCTGTAAGAGAAGCAGATCAATCGTAAGGCATCAGCGTCTTCTTCTTCTTCCTGCGCCACCTACCCCTAATCCCACCCTCATAACCTCTTCTACAGCAATCCAAAACCAAATCCTTTTCAAATTATTCCATGCGGTCTGCTTAATCCAAATTGGAGTACAAACCCACCCAATACCCCAAAGCGTCGCCACAGTTCCAACAGCGATCAAACGCCTCACATACTCAAACCCACTCCACTGTCCAATACTCAAAAGTAGCACTTCTCCAGCAATCCAATACCAATACTCGCTTGGCTTGTAGAAGAAAACGACATCATCGCCGTTATGGTGGACAGTGCCGCTTCGTATGGATGTGGACGTTGACGTTGGAAGGATGACTGTAACTGGATAGGTTTGAGTAGTGATTTGGTACTGAAAGTAACATGCACTAAGGAGGAGTGCACCCGAGAAGAGACGGTCGAGGAGGTATGTTCCTTCTATACTGAGGAGCCAGTAGAAGGGTGTGAATGGTGTCGTGGAGGTGTAGAGCAACGCAATTAGAGGAAGAGCGGAGAGCTGGCGCAGGGGAATAGAAGAAGCCGGGACGGGTCCGGTGGCTTTGGTCACCATTTTATTTTCGGGTTTGGGGGAACTATCAGGAAAGCTGTTGATATAAGGTTAATCTGTAAACGAAGGAGGACCTGCGGGGTTTTGTATGTAGACGAGCAGGGTTGCCTGTTGGGGGCGTTTGCGGCGAAGGATTCCTCCCAGGCGCCGAGAAGTATTATTTTTAACCTGGCTATGCTCAAAAGAATTTTGGGGTGCATTATTCTTGTCAAAGAAATACACCTTGTCGCTGTTCATTCCAGCAACTAGCTTGTATACCTCGATAAAGCTACGATTCTAAGGTGTTGGGGCTCTTTCCTAACCGCTAAAATCAATTTGGTATACCGCAGCTTTTAATACTACAACGCAGGTGATCATAGAAGTCGTGAGCATACTCATTTGGTTTTGGCACAGCTAGTGTACAGTATTTTGATAAAAGCCTATCTGACTTTCAAGAAATTCGAAGGAGTACAAGTACACCAGGACCCGATTAGCCAGGATTCGAACAGTCTCAAGCAGTCAATCGTCAAGTTCCTTGTTCTATCATTAGCTTTCTGGTTCTCTCGCCTCGATGCAAACCACTCACAAGAATTTCCCCTCCCAAGTCTTCATTCAAGAGGCATCTTTGAATTTTAACAAGTCTATTATAGCTGATGCCGCATAGTGCCCATCACTCTCTATTCAAATAAAGGAATACTTGAAGACGGATACTGTCGAGCAAACCCTGTTTTCAGGCAGAAACCCGAACTGTAAAACCAAAAAGTTCAGATTGTATGCTTGTCAATCACGTGTCTCGTCAGACGAGAGTAATCCTACAAGCAAATCCGTCAAATAAAACCCATTCCCATATCTCTCCATTTCACATCTTTGTAAACCTAACCCCTAATCGGATGAGTTCTTGTACTTGCCCATTTTCCTTAGTGGACGATTGTATGAACTGATTCCTCAAATCTAGTACTTGCAAATCCACCAATACCTTGATCACTTCGTCCTAAGCCCGCTGGTCAGAATGGATGCCATATCTGAAATGCCCACAAATCAACGCACCGTTCTCTATGTAAGCTCGAGGAATTGTAGTACCCCGCTGTTGATGTTGCGCCCCTTTTCCATTGTTCATCTTCTGAACTTCGTCCTTTGCCGATTCTCGCTTCGATAATTCCAAATTATCTAATTGACCACTCTCTCCAAGGCAAAATCCTGCAATCGCACAAACTCGAGTTTAGGAATTGTAACTACTTTTTCGAGGAGATTTCTAACATGAGAATCCGTGAATGTCCATTTGTAAAGGTGAATCCTATTAAGATTTGGCAAATTGGGCAAAACCTTCCCGAAGAACTGATCATTGTAATTCTGGCAGTCGAGGACTGGTAGGCTTCCAACATCGTAAATACCGTACATGCGAATGGATATGGCGTGCATCTGAGAGGTCATCTCGGCGGTAAGCTTTGCTAGATTGAGAGAATTGTGTATTCCTGTGACTATGGAAGATTTGACACCAGTTTCGATTCTTTGGAAACATTTTGTGGCGAGGGCGAAGTTGGTAAGTCGCAGGTTGTCGAAGTCGTTTTGATTGAGGTAAGACGTGATGTTAGCAACCAGTTCTGTGGGCAGATTGGTTATGTTGGCCGCCATGGTGATTGATGCGTAATTATGTAGGCGGTGAAATTTAAGACTGTAATGGAATGTGATAATTTGAGGTTGTTTTTGGAAGTTGTGCTTGAGGTTGTGCTGAGAAGTTGAAGTTGCTGAAGCAGGTTTCCTTAAAATTCTACAGTTAGTGGCGGTGTTGTAATTTCCATCGCGATCTCACCTAAGGAGGTGAGGTTGGGGCGTTTAGCAACCTGAAAATCGGTAAAAGGCAGACGTCAGGAAGCACAGCGCCGCGTCCAACCTTGCCCAGCCGTCGACTAATCCCATCCTATTCCCCATATACAAACTTGCCATATAAGTACCCCTCCCCCAAATCTAACATCAATAATAGTACCTTCAGCGTCGGTGGTGTAAGTTTAACTCTTCCTCTTCTTCAGGCTCGGTGCAGCATACTAATAATTACGGCAGTTAGTGGTAAAATCCGTCCTTGCCATGGACGGGCCCCGGGTTCGATTCCCGGCCGACGCAATAGACTTGATGTTTTTTTTCGATCCATTCGGGTGGCTGAACTTTGATGTGAGATGACATGCCTTTCGTGAATTCTGTCAGATTAGGAGAGCAAAGCAGAGGAGAGAAAAGGCAGTGTGATAGGCGACAAAGCTAGGAATGGGCGTGACGAAACTGGAGAATAACTGAGAGCCGAGAATGGAAAGGGATTTGATGAATAGGAAGCAATAGACCTAAGGAAAAAGGGTGAACTTCAACGAGTTCCTATTTGAGACATCCATATCTCATGATCGCCCTTTGCAAACAGCATCCATCGAGCCTACCGGCCCTATGCAAATAGCGCCCTACTCTTACACTTCGAACCGTATCCAGTAGCAGAAGAAAACGCCCCAAGTCCCCGCCGCCCTATCACATAAACTCCTTGCTGCGTGGAATATGAATGACCATGAAGCTGAAAAATCGCCGAAATGATAAGAAGAATGGCCGGCCCTAGCATTACCGCCCACCAGCGACAAAAGACTTCTCATACGCAAATAGCCCCTTTGACCACGGCGGCAGCTTTTTGTCCCTCTCGTATAGTAAGCCGCAGTTGTTGCAGAGGGAGCGGGTACCGCCTGGACCATCGCGGACTGCCCATACTGCTGAGCCCCATACCCTGCAGTGGTCGCACCGCCAGTTTTGTCGTTCCCTGTTCAAAGATGTTAGCTTGTCTATTATGATTATATAAGAGCGGAACATTCGCACCATTCCGCCAATGCAGGACCACCACCATAACCACTAGCATCCGGTGTATCCCGGCCTAGAGGACTCAAACTCCTAAATCGCCTCTTCTTCTTGCTCCTCTCTCCACGACCCATTGGAGTGTCCCCACCAGTCGGATCGGCAAAGTAATCCCCTTGCTGGGGCGTCCCATTGATCATATTAGCCGTACTTGTGAAACGAGCAGTTTCCCTCCTCACACGCCGCATCTGCCTCTCACGCTCCTTCTCCCTATTCTCAATTTCATCTTTGGACAGGTTCTCAATGACGGGTTCCCATGCTGCTGCTAAGCGTTCGGGCTCGTAGCGCCAACCCGCTTCCACGCCCTCAGCCGCATCGTTGTCGATATCATATGAGCCCACTAGGCCGCCGTTCTCGCAGGCCTCCTTTTTTAGGCGCAGCACGGCTTCGTAGATTGCATGCGCCATAGCTGGGACCCATTCGGCGGCTAGTCCAAGGTCTGCGCATGTTTGTTTCGCGAAAGTTTCTGCAAATCCTGGAGGATGTAGGAGTGACCATTCGAAGGTGTCGCTATATAGTCTATTCATTAGATTAATGCGCAAGGTGACTACACATCGGTAAGTATCGTCTGGATTGTAGACATCCTCTGCCGAAGGCTTTGCTTCGGCTGTGATAGATTCGCCGTTTGGTGTGGCTACAGCAGGCGTGCCAGCCTGGTCGCCGTTTGTGAAGCCATTGGTCATGCCGTTGGTGTGGGGAGTGGAGCCATGGGTAGGCATTGGAGTCGATGACACGTCTCTCGATGCAGCCGCTGTGGCGTTGGCCGTTATTGCAGCCGTCTGTATGACGGGTACTGTTGCTCCTGTCTGTGTTGTGGTGGTAGTGGCATGAAATAAAGGATGTAGTGCTACGCCCGCATAATCCTCCAACTGTGTGCGTATTTGAGTGGTGATTTGTCCAATCAAAGTCGCCTTCCTCTCTACCGGCAGATCTAATTCGTCGACCAGTGTCTTTGCGAAATGATCAGGTGTTGTGAGGGCTTCGTGCAGATTCCACAAGAAAGCGTCTTTCAAACGGAATGCAGGTGTCAAGTCTGGGTGTCGGTAGGCTGCTGATGTTTCGTCCACACCCATTTCGCGCGCATTTTGAGGCATTGGCAGTGGCGCATCAGGTCTGAAAGGTTGTATGTCTAGGTCGATTCGAATGGGTATAAGAGTGAGGGGCAGGGCTGCTTGAATTTGGAGTTGTTTTTCAGTGCTGTAGTCGGCATAAGGTTAGTATTTTAGTATTTCTCTCATAATTCAAGATAGTTTTGGAAGTGGAAGTGGAAGTGGAAGTAGTAACTCACAGCACTCGCTTCGGTTTACCCATGTATTCCCTCCATATCCCTTGCACATCGACTGGCGCATATATCTCTTTACCCAATTGACTAGCCCCACCAGCTTGCGCAGTATCTGTATCTTCCCTCCTCAAACTTCTCAAGCCAGTAGGCCGCCTTCCATGCCCCTCGCTATCTTCGAAATCATCATCGTACCCATCTTCCGCGTAACTTACAACTGCCGTGCCGCGCCGTGTTGTTTTTATCTGCGGAACCGCTGTAGTCTGTGGTATCACCGGTGCCAGTAACGAATTGCCATATGTCCGTATTCGAGGCGCGTAACTTGAGAGAAATGCTTGTGGTGGATTCAATCGCAGGCTAGGTCCGGGTCCGGGCGACATGTTGGTTGTGGTGTTGTGAGAAAGGCCAGACGGCCGCAGATTCGTAGTGGTTTCGTCAACTTCACCACCAACAACAACGAAATATTGTTATGTAAAGTTTAATGTCATGTAGATCGGCAGATGAGCGAGTCGAAAACGCGCTCGCTTTGATAAAAGAGCGTGTGTCAGAGGGGAATTCTGCTTTGCGATGGATTGTCGCAAGTTTCGTGGTTAGGAACGGTAGTTGCAGTATTTTTGGCGTGATACGTATGACTAAGCAATGATTCTCGGACGCTAAGCTCCTTTTAGCACAAACATTACAGTCTCTCCAGGCTCTCTTCGGCCTCCTTCCGTCAAAGACTCATACATAACACGTTTCCCACATGTAGGGTGCACTCCATTCACTTCTTGTACTCGAACCCCGTCACTTGCTTTTCCTGCCTATGATTCGAGGTAGCACATGAGCCTCGCCTTCCTTTTGCTTCTACGCTTTACAATTCTTGTTCACACTCGCGCCATTGGCCATGACACCATAAATATCCCCGTCCTGGAGGCACAAACTCCTGCCTAGCTGGTGAGACTGTCATGATAAATGGGAGCTCTACACCACCACCCTCGCAGCTTTGTCTTCCCTGTCCTTTCTTTACTTTTTACCATCCATGTCTTCGTTTTTCCGCTCCGCCAATGATGTTACTGCCTCTTCCCAGGATGAAGAGTCCACTTCCGCAGGCGCGGACGAGGCTGAAGACGAGCCAGTCTCCAAAGTCAATACCTTGAGTTCTACAGCTAGCGGTTTGAAATTGACCGAAACTCTTCAGCCTCTCGGCGTTGTCAATTCTGCTCGCGATGTTACCTTAATTGATGGTAGCGGACGACAACATAGCGATAACATTCTCCACGCTTTACTCTATGAGAGATGTGCCAGCGAGGCATTAACTCACTATCTAGAGCAGAGTGGGAGACCCCACACCAAGGACCACCCAGATGTCAAGGATCTTGCCCAGCGAAAGTACGAGTATATGAGCGACCAGCTCCGAAAGCATGGTCTCATTCCTACTGGAACCCAAGGGGAAAGTTCCCCCAAGCTTCGCAATGCGTACTCTTCAGGTCTTGATTTGCTTTCCAGCACTAGTCCACTGCCTGGTCGGCCTGGTCTTGCTTCTCGGCCTAGCGCGGCTAATGAACTCGATGTTGCTATACGGAAGCTGTCTATCTCAAGTCCGAGTTCTCGGCCAAAGCCTCCGTTTCAACAGTTTCGACTCACCCAGCGCACTAATAACCCTCATCAAATGTTAAATTTACCACCTCTCCTCCAACCTTTGGTTGAGCATCAAATGTTTGAGATTTCTCGCTATCGACGAGAGTTCAACGAGATTGGGTGCATTGGCAAGGGTGGCTATGGGAAGGTGTATCACGTGAAACATAAACTGGACGGAGCTGATTACGCCATCAAGAAAATTACCCTCAGTTCTGCTCGAGTTAGGAGAATTGAAGAGCGTGGTCAGGATGAATTGGATAGGTTATTGATGGAAGTGCGAACGCTTGCGCGTTTCGATCACCCGAATATTGTGCGTTACTATGGGGGCTGGCTAGAATATACCATGCCTGCGGCTTCGGGACCGGCAGCTTCTGTGCGGCACTCTTTGCAATTACTCGAGGTAGAAGCTACAAATTCGGACGATGATGATTCTGCAAATAGTGGAACTAAAGACGTCTCGAACTCTTCCTTTGGGCCGTCGGTACGTGCTCAAGGTGACTCCGATGTCGACGTCGTTTTCGACGGCAGTGAAGACGAGATCTATAGCGAGGAAGTCACTGGGTCAGGTGCTCCACCATTAGGCAAAACCGGAGGGCTTGTTAGTTCCCCAAGTCAGCCACCTCGGCGTAACAGCGAGAGCACCACCGCTTCTGCCGGCTCTCGAATTACGACTGCTCAGAGCATTAGCGGAGAAATCGCTCAACCTCTTCATGCCGTCCCTGAGGCCGATCAATTGGAGTCCGAGTCCATCGACCCAAGCTTATCCTCATTCGGTCATGCGAATCAAGTCAGGCTTACCAGCGAACCGCAACTAACACTGCACATTCAAATGTCACTCCATCCACTGTCACTAGCTGATTTTCTGTCCCCCCAATCCGAATCACTGTCTAATCAAGGATTTGAATTCCGCCACTGCTTCCACCCACAAATATCAATGCGCATCCTCCTCGCCATCCTGGACGGCGTTCAATACCTTCACTCCACGCGCCTCATCCACCGCGATCTAAAACCATCCAACATTTTCCTCTCATTCCACTCCTCGCCTTCACTATCATGTATTGATCTCTCCAGCTGCCAAACCTGCACACATCCCCGCACACCAACACCATACCTCACCATTCGCATTGGTGATTTCGGTCTCGTTACTGAGATTGCGCAACCAGATGGTGGGGCTTCATCCGTTCTTGCGTCTAAAGCTGTAGGGACCGAACTGTATCGACCCCACGATTCTTCCGGCAAGCTCGATGAGAGTCTGGATGTTTATGCCCTGGGCATCATTGCGGTGGAATTGCTGCAGAGATTTGAGACTAAAATGGAGCGGTTGGGGAGGTTGGGTGATGCCAGAA